AAACTGAAAATGCCTATAAAGAATAAACAACTACTGCTTATGGCAACTTATTTACCTTTTTAGCGGTCATATTGTGCTCATTTTCAGGTTCATAATTTTATTTAGGGGTTGTACCAGAACAGGTTATCTGGTTTTATTTTTAAGAAACACCATGTCTTTTGTCATACTGCACATTGCTCCAGCTCCTCTTTTCACCCTGTGTTGAACGCTCCTTTTTTAGCTATGGAGTGATGCATCTCACCTCTACAAGATCTTTGTTTGCAGTTGCACATGTGCAGTGCCTACTTAAGGGCTACTAGGCAATCAGAAGCAAAGCAGGGCGGTCCCAAAAACGGCTTCGGTTCAGCTGTATAAGTTCCCCTTACCAGCTTAGCAACATGGACTGGAATGATCATCACCTCCTGTGTAGATGTTGCACATTAAAAGTATTTGAGCAACTCAACTGGCATAGTCCCTCCCTTTCCTGATATGAGTTTAATGTGAACAATCTGCAGGAATTGTTCCGTTGACAGCGAATTCTTAAGAGTGAAAGCAGAGGAGATTGTAACTGGTTAGTGAATGAGACAGTGGTTCTGTTAAAGAGAAACTCAAAGACACAGAGCAGTGAGTGAGTATAACACAACCATGTTGTACTGACGTGTGTTATCAAATGTCAAGAATGGTGAACATGACGGTTGTTGTGCTCATTTAACCTGCCCAGGGACTGCAGATGAAAATTTGCCTTTCAGGCAAATCACATACATATTATATATTTACATTGCATTGATGTTATTTATGGTGGGCTGTCCTTGATAAATAATTTATTAAAATAAATCATTACTGTTGTGGAAATATACATTGTCCTGAATATGACTGGCCAACGGGTTTAATTTAGCAGGTTTTTCATGTGTGCTTCTATCTGAGAATTTACTGTAAAAGCATCACTAGCAAATCAGACCTTGGGGCCTGTATTGTGAGACTGTATCACAGTCGCATTGTCACTGGGAAAGATGACACAATGACACGAGTTAAGACAGCAAAAGGGATTCGAATGGGAGATGTAAAAGGAAGTGAAAGGTGACAGAAAAGGGAGAATAAAAATTTGAGAGTCAGCTGGCTGACCTCTAACTCACTGAGTCAGTGATTGAGGAGAAAGCAGTATTTTACTCTCTCCCCAAAGGGGTTGAGAGAACACACCAGACTGGAAAAAGTTATATAACAGAGAGAAAGAGTCCATCATACTACTATCTTTATCATGACGCTTCTCTCCCTTTCTGAGATTTGAGAGCAGGACGATAAACTACTACTCATGAGTCTACAGTAGACTGATGGTTGAGGGAGTGGAGATCTCGTATGCAGCAACAGCAGCGTCAGCAGTGGGCTTCACTAACTGGGACTGCATGCAGAAGGACATGACTGTGTGACAAAGGCCAAAAAGAGCTGTGGTTCCTATACCACATCTGTTGTACATCTGTTGACTAGCAGGCTCCTAGGGCACATTTGCCTTTTTTTGTTCCATCCGTGACAATAGGTGTCACCTAGATCTAACCTATTTTAGTTCTTTGTCCTTGTAAACAAACATTCCTAAACATTAACTTGAATTTTGACATAAGGAAATAGGAAAAGGATGAGAAAATGTTTGTCACTTGTATTAGACCTTTTCTCCTAGGCTCAATTCAAAGCTAAGTGGCCGCTTCAGGTGATGTTTAAACATAATCTCTTCAGTTTTGATTGTATTGATTATTCAGCTTTTGATTGTTTGATTCATGTCAACATAAGTGCAATTGACCAGACCGACCTTGACTAACATTGCTTTCTGAGAATCTGCTGAGTGTGGGAAATGTCTGATAAACACCAACAGACACTACTTCACACTTATTGCTGATGGCATTGTTAGTGTAATGTGATATGTTGCTGAATTCTGCTCAGTTTGTCTTAATCTCCCCATACTGACAGCGACAGGATGAGCAGTTGTCCAAACACTGGGAACAGCAGGACATGAAACGGAAAATGTGTTGCACAAGCAAAATGCACAAGACAACCACAGTATTAATCTAATGTGTACAAAGATGTGACATTATGTCACATGGTCACACTTGCATTTGACATTTACACAGTGACAGATTAGAGAGAAGGTCAGTGCGTGTGTGTGTGTGTGTCCTCAGGAATCAACCTTATATTTGACTTGAAATCAAATTATTAGCGCACAGCGATTTCCTGTACAGTATCGGTGAATGTGTGCAGAATGTCTGTATGTGCACGTGGCCACCCATGCATATGCCTCTCAGTCTACAATATACTGCACAAGACAGATAACTCAACCCAGCAGTTACTATGTTATTTTGAAGCAATATTTATATTATCATATAATGATATGGTACATTTCAGATCCTATAAAATTACCAGACAATAGGTACTATTGACTTGAAGTTCTCCTTGTTATTCCAGCAGTATTTTAACCCACAGTAATAAAGCCACTACTCCAATTGTGAATTGTTTGTGAAGATGAATCGAAAGATATAGTTTAGCTATAAGATAAGACTAAAGTTTCCTTATGCATTGCATTTTCCCCCCTCATCTGAATCACAATTTGCATACTTTTGTCTTTTTATATGTAGTAAAATGAAACACAAACTAATGCCAATGCCATGTTACAGAGCAATCAAGGAAAAATGACAAACTTTAGGGCTTTAACTATGCCTTATATAATAATGCAAAAGGAAAATGATAGCTCTTCCATTGTGCAAAAATGTTTTAATAATAAGCCCATCAATAATGCTGACATATCATTATCATTATGATCATTAGCTCTTTTGTCCCAGACATAGCCTATAATGTGTGTTATTCACCCTTTAGGATTAGAGTAATTCATTTTCATTTTTCATATTCATTTTGTGCCCTCAATATTTTTTCTTGTCCTCACCTGCTTTACATTGCTCAGATCTTGGCTGGATGGCAACCATCTACACCTCCAGTTCAACTCCAGTTCAACTAATAGTTCTGTAATTTCCTCTAAGCAGAGGCAGTGGCTTTCTTGCTACTGGTTTATTTGAATACTTCTCTCCAAATCCATCATAAAAACTAAACACACAATGTTGATGAGAAAATATAGAGACCATGTTAGCTTAACATAAAGAATAACATGCAGATCATGTGGAATACTGTTAATAAAAATACAGTTAAAAATACAGACAAACAAAACAAAATACCATACTACATTGGCTGCATGCTATAAAAAAGGGAAGTCTTTGAGTCTTCAGAGGTTTCTATATAACCGCTCACATCCAGGTCTGTTGTGACCAGCATTAAACCAGTCACCTGAACTTATTAAAAATGCCTTTGCTTTCTGCTTGCTAGCCTGTGTTGCTATACTTTGATCTGAGACTTCAAAATAATAGTATTATTACTTGTCCTAAATTAAATAATGTACTAATAACAAAGGCAATGTGTATTGTGTATTATTATATATATAATGCAAATACAATCAATCAATGGTTTGGTGCACTGCTAGCTCATAGCAGGTGCTAGATTGCCTCGCTGTTGTTGGAGTGTTTGACAGGAAATACCTGTTAATTGCTGCAGGTGATATTACTGCACAATGATGCGACCACCTTATCGCATGAGAAAAGGAAAATAAGGTGCTAAGTGAGTCATTTGACTCAACTTGTGCACTTGTAGAGTTGAGAAAATGGGAGATTAAAAAATTTCCACAAACATTTACGTTACATAATATAGTCCTAGTTTTGGCCATATACTGTATGTTTGGGCTAATCTCATATACATAATAAAATTAATAATTTGCATGTTTCCCTGCTGTGTTCACAAGCAGCTGTGATGTAAACAAATCCTAACAGCTTCAGGTACACTTAGAGTGTTATATTCTGTTGATATTGTATTAAAAGAGCTGTCAATTTGGTCGTGATAAGCCATCCAATTCTGTAGTGATGGTGCTACACTTGTTTTCATTTAGATTCCAAAGTGTGCCTTGTAAAGTATAATACTTGTGATTTTCAATACATCTAACACATTTAATAAAACTGTTTTCAGCAATAGCAAGTCCGTGTATTTGCACACTGTATATGCCTCTCTTTGCATGGTTAAAATTATGTATCCTCTTAAATGGAGTGTGGGAAATTTCACCCATTGTTGATGTTGTTCATTTTTGATGACAATTCAGAGGTTGCTTTTTTCTGTTGTGTTTCTGACAAAGTGGCTGGCCAAAGCGTGTTTGCTGCTTTGCTTATAATGGCAATTTTTCCAAAAAGTAAAGCTCCAATTAGTTTTTTTTTAACTGAAGTATTTGTGAAAAAAACTACAGTTTGTTTGATAAAATTTAAAAAAGAACTAAAGGCCCACTTACTAGATTTTTCCAGATCTTTTAACCACATCTCATTGTCTCTCTCAGCAGATAGAGTTTACCTAGTTGTCAGACAACCTTTGTTTGATTCTCTGGATCTTAATTGATTATTACTGATGTAAATGTAGATTTAGTTGTTGTCTAATGTTGGTCCCTGTATTAATGTGAGAGTGATAACAGTATATTTGTTATGATCTTCTGATGTTGGGGTACAACTATGTTTACATTAGGATTTACAGCATAGATGGTGACTTTAAATGCTTGCAAAACAAGTTGAAGGTCCTCTTGTGCATTACATTTCACTCAGGCTGTTTCATAAAACATGTGCTGTATATTCCATTTGTGGATCACTGCATATAAAACAGGAGTTACTTGAAATGCAGCCGCCGTACACAGTGATACTCAGTTGTTCTGAAAAGGATGTTGGGTAATACTGTGTATTTACTGACAAGGTGATGACTGCCTAGTAAACATTGGTTATCAGGAACACCAGGATATCGGCTCAGTGTATGAATGAACAGTTGTAGAGGTCATGGACAATGCACATACATGTGTGAGTGTGCATGTGTGTATGCGAATCACCCAACGCCATCCTCCCTAACTCATCAATATCCTCTCTCTGTACTCCCTCTCCCCTGCCCTCACCTCTCTGTCTCCCACCTAGATGGTTTATAAGCCCTGGCTGTGTTCTCAGTACTTCCAGACCACCCAGATGCACTGCAGTAAGCGAATCCCTTGTGGTCAGTACTGCCTGGAGGTGCAGCAGCGGTGCCCCTTTGTCCTGCCCGACAATGATGATCTCATTCATGGAGGCAGCCCCAGTTTTATATGCACAGGTACAACAACATTATCATACAGTTTATGCATTGTTCTGTTTGTTTTATCTTCCATTGTTTTTTCCCTTTAACCTTATTATAAAGTTTAACATCAGCACAGTTTTTGCAGTTGCCCAGTGTATCTTTAGTACTCAACCAGTAGTTGAGCAGTTGGGTCAAAGAGGCTTATAGACTATTTAGGGGATAAAGCAGCATTCGAAGCTATGAGTAACAAGCTTGTCTAACCTCTACTGCTTGTGCTCATCCTGTGTACTGTCGAACATTACTTAACTACTGTACTCGCTGTATAATGTGCGAACAGATAGTGAGCACAAACAGAGCGTAATGTCTTGCTCAATGATACTTCAATAGGACACACAATCTGTGGTGGACACACAGTGAACACTTGTGACTTTACAGTTTCAGGATGTTCTGTCAAATCACCAGACTAACAGGGTGATACAACATAACAACAAATTGTTTCCAATTACTCACAGCACTAAGAGGCAGCTGCACAAGGGAGCGCTGTCGCAGTAAGTCTGTGTCTGTGCTGAACATTATAGGCCTATATGTAGTCATTGGGTCAGGACACACACACACACACACACACACACACACACACACACACACACACACACACACACACACACACACACACACACACACACATCTTAATCCTAAATAAATGCTAAACTTTGTCAGGACCATAGTTTTGTCTCCACATACACCAAAGGTGAGTCCCATGCAGTCTAACTGTGTGAGCAGATTTTTGTCATCACATGTGGATGCTGCCCTCTGGTGGTCAGGTTACATTCATGTACAGTGTGACAGAAGATATTGAAAGTAGTGTTTGTGTTTTTGATTTGTGTGTTTTCCTATTAATCATTTGTATGTATGTATTTATGAAGAATACTAAAGAATCTTGTCAGTCTTTAAAAATAAAAGGATACGGCTGGCAATATATTGTTGCTATTATCAACAAGTCTTATGAAAAGACCAAGACCAACAATGTGTAAGTCCGTCTCTAAACAGTTGATTTTCACACAGTGGGTTCACATAATGTTTAATATTTCTCAAAACAGCTTAAATACACATTTGCTGCACTCGTAAGTACTTTGAGGCAACAGAATGTGGGACTGAGTCAAAATGAACTACAGTGCCCCATGTTCATCATAATGAAGGAAAATGACATCCAGTGCAACAGTGTGGCTAAATGATGTGTTTTCAATAGTTTTTGGTCAATGGAGGTCTGTGGCACAGAGAAATAAGCTATATCAGGCTTTGGCTACACAGAAAATATTTGTTATTTGGATGACTTTATTGGTTTTGGTCTTTTCATGGGCTTTGCTGATGGTAAGAAAAAAATAGAATATCACCAAAGTTTTTAGACATGTGTTATCCAGTTATGTTGTCCAGATCTTGGCAATCAATTCTAAATGTACAGTCTGCTCTGTGAACACAGCTAATATACTGAGCAAGGATAATAAAGCATTTCTGTACATATGAGTAAGTAAGTGAGATTACAGCGGCTATTGCAACTCTTCAGGTTGTGTCATTTGCTTCTGCATATAGTGTGCATGTGTGTATTTTGTAAATAACTCTGCAAACATGGTCGCTCTAAATGCAGATTTGTCAGAAACTTACTAATTACATGGTTCCTCTTGTCACAGTTAAGCTGTTTGGAGTCTAAACTGTGCTGAATGGGAACACTCTTCTTCAAAGTTCTCCTGACATTAGCATGCATATGGGCTGTGATAACCCCCCTTTGCTTACAGTGTCAGTGGAGAGAATGTCAGAAAGCTGAAAGCTGATTTCAGCCCTTGTGTCAATGCTGTACATCTTGTTACATACTGCTTTTGTCACTAAATTGCATGAATTTTTTAGTATGTACAGTATGGTACTGTACAGTCTCCATACATTAAATGCACTCCTATACTGTATCTGTATGCTTAGTTGCAAAGGCAAGGCTAATCATAGTAATTCAATTAGGCTGCTGCAGCATAGAAAAGAGACATTTGGTACAAAACTACTAAAACTACAAAAATTGGCCAACAATATTTACTTTATTTTTAACATTGTGATGACGTGATATGATATTAATGGAAATATTGGCTGTACAGCTAGTGTTAACCCTTTTCCCTGTTTTCTATATTTTTGTGTGTTTCTTTTATGCTGTGCATGTGTTGTCAAATTGATTAATATGTCTCTTAATCTTCTTGTGTTTTTTCCATTTGCATGTGTTTTCTTACATTGCAGTGCAGTGAACTCTCTTGGTGCTTTTTCAACTTTAATTTAGATTTGAGAATGATAAATTTTACAGGAAATCACTCCTGCGTTATTGTCTTTTTATATCTTTTCATTTTCAAAACAGTGCCTTTGGGGGAAGCTGGACTTTTTTTTGACAGGAAGCAAGTACAGGATTTATAAAAATAAAATGCTACATGCAGCATCTCTAAGACAACATGTGAGCTGTGAGCTAACTGTTTATATCTCCACCACCACCTCCACCCCCTCCCCCCAAAACAACCCCCAGGGCTGCTGGAGGACTATCCATCAGGTGTAGACCCGGATGCAGAGTGCTGTGACGTGCGGTGGGACTTGAAAGTGGACAACCGTTCCCGGGGGACCCTGAAAAGAACTCACCCGCCATGCCAGCACCGTACCTCCCTCAGCTCCTCGGCAGCCTGCAGACTGTGTAACAGCCGGCTCAAACTCTGCCTGCTGGTCCTTGTCCTCCTACATACTGTTGCCAGCCTCACTGCATCCCACAATGCAACAGGACTGGGCCTCCCCGCCATCACGCCTCTGGAGGAGAGCCCTGCCAATGAGGAGTGATACAGCTGCCAGGAGGAGGTGAGGGTGTTGGGGTGGGGGATTCCCTCACCATGGCAACCAATGTGGAAAAATACAGCCACACTTGTGCGAATGGCTGGAGCTGTGTGCCTGTGGACATTCTGCAACACTTGCCGGCAAATGGAAAATGTGGAACGCTTTGAGAAAAAAGACACACAAATCAATCAAAACAAATCAATAAGCAAACAAACAGACATACTAGGGGACTCAACCAGTTCCTTACATAGAAAGGGGACAATGCCACAGCCTTTGTTGAGTGGGAAGGTCGGCTTCCTCATGGCTGAGTTTCTCTCACTACGCTTTTTTACACTGTGTTCCAATTATTGGTTTGTGTTGCACTGGCTGACTATGGAATAACACAATCATATTCTCTTTCTAATGTTCATCCTTTGTGTTTTTTTCTGGGTCTCTCATACATGAAGAAAATGTGCTCTCTAAATAAGACAGATAAAGTGTAAAAAAAAAAATTAGCTGCAAGGTTGTGTGTGATGGTTTCTGTTTCTAGATTTACTGTGTGTGCGAGCATGCGTGAGTGTGTGTGTGCTTGTATGCATGTCTTTACACATGTGTGTATGTGTGCGTATGAGAGGATGAGTGTGTGTTGTTGACATGTGCCCTAAAAGCCTACCTAACAGGTGATGATGTTTTTATGGAGGCCCCCTCCGATGTCACTAAGCTCTGCCATGCTGGTTTGATGGCCACAATCCCATTAAAACTTCACTGGGGTTTGAATGTGGTTCTGATGTCTATAATAAGCACTGTGTTTAACACAGGTTTATGGTTTTCCCTCACTTTGTTTTGTGAGATAATATTTCTGTAATCAGCATCAGTAAATTGCTAACACCTGGCTAAAACATCACATACAGTTTTATTGCACAGTGAGAGTTTATTATGAATATTTCTCTGGTACAATCACTTTTAGTTTTTACATCAAATCCAGTGGTTTAGAAAATCTGTCTGATAACTTGTTTATAATATATGCCTTATCATCTGACCTTTTGGTTTTCTTGCCATGTTGGACTTCATTGTAGCAATGTTGATGTGTTGCCAGACCAAAGGAGCTACTTTGTTGAGTGAAATTTTATTATAACCAATGAACCATACTACAAAAGACCCAAGCAGAATGATCCTTTAAGCTTTCATCTAACCCTACGATTGGACTTTTACACAGAAGAAGAAGTTTACAATAATTCAAAAAATGTTTGAAAAATTTTTTTAGCTGCCATCTGGTTTCCCTGACAAGTCTGCATATTATATGTTGTAGGATCATGGTTGAAAGATGCTATCCTAACTAAGCGTTAGGATTATCACTCCTCATGTTTTGAATGGAGATGAACAGATGACAAGGCAGAAGTGCATGATTTAGTAAACATACTGACATAAGCAAAATTAGGAGGGTCAAAGAATCTTGACATTGGTGTTGGTGATAGTTTGGTTTATTACCTTAATAATGCTAGTTAATGAGATCTTCTGTGTTTGTTTACAGAGTTCGCCACTTGTTAGCAACTTAATTAGTGCACAGGAAGCTACGAAAAAACCCACAGACAGGATAATTTTATCTCACAGAACAAAACATGAAACTGTGTTAAGCTTGTCTTAACCAAAGATGTTATCCCAGGCATTTTACCAAAACCCCATTCGGATTCTGGTCACTTCTCAGCAACATTGCTCAGCAAAGTTAACTGACATCAGGATTTTACCACTGGATCAACGTTATTCACTGTTGTTCCAGACAAAGAAGATTTTGTGATGTTAGATTTTAAAGGTACTATCCAGTCCAAATAATGTCTGCAACATAAACATGACGGTTACTCATGAGCCTTGGTTTTTTCCCTTCTCTCTGGTTTTCATTAATAATCAAATGTGACCAGCAGTTCAAGTGTAAATCATTTTACCCTATTATGACCACTTGAAACTCAATTTGCTGTTTGCCCTCAAACCAATACTGAGGTCTACATCGGTGGTGTAATTTAAACTGCAAGCCTTTGATGACTGGATGTTACCTTTAAGGCCTTTTAATAACTGTCAAACTGTAAGTTCCTTGCAGTTACGACGAAGACGTCAATGTCTCGCTATGAAAGGAAGCAATCTACCTGCAGCAGCTTGAAGGAAAGGACTGCTAATAGGTATATTACACTATGACCCTGCTCCCTGGCCATACAATACATATACAATTACATTCTACATCAACATAGAAGCAATTTGTTCAAAATTGTCATATTCTTTCTGTTGAACCAAAGTGCGTAACCTATTTTCATGAACTGCATGTGGAGGCGCTCTGCAAGGTTATGGCAGCCTCTTCTGTTGATTGTCCTTAGCCCCACTTCAGCTCCATATCTGATCCCGAATCAGCTCCTGTAGCATGCCCACTGTCTTGAACTTTTCTCTCCTCAAAACATCAGATTCATGTCTCATTAAGTAAAGGGCTTATTAAGATATACAATACAAACATTATCATCAGCACAGTCAGACACACTTAACAAACACATGCGAATTGTTAGCAGACAAAGGGTAAATACACGGCTCATTTCCTGTTTCTTTTCTAACTCGTACGCCTGCAGTACAGAGGCATTCCACTGGCTGTTACTGGAGAGCAGGAACCGAAACAAATCCAGAGAGAGGAGCGTGTCATTGTTTATGTAAGCACTAATGGCATAACCTGATTCTCGTCTAAGTCAGCTGACACATTTTATTTTATAAATGTTGACCAGTGTGTGAACAGACGGAAAGGTGTGACCTTAAGGGCTGACTTATTCTATAGTTTCTAGATTTTCTTTTGTCTCTTCCATGAACAAGGCTGTGAGATCAGGTATTTGAAGATAAACAACTGTTGTTAAATGCATTTTGTTTCCACACTGAAGTATGTTGGTTATTTAAATGAGATGTCCAATCCAATATCTGATGTCAAGAATTTTATTATACAGCTTATATGAGGATTTAAAACCATCTTTATTCACACCATGTCTATATAACCAGCCTGTTTGGCTTATTTTGACACGTATGCTGTTTAGACCCTGACCATTTCTGCTTCCATGAAATACATAACTGCTCATTGTCATTCAGCACAGCACACCCATGCCCATCTTGGATGACCGCATTCAGTGATAGAAAAATGCTGCTATTCTATTTGCCACCAGTAGATGGAGATATTTTTATTCTTTTATATTGCTATTGCTGCTGAAGATTTACCACACAAGGACTGTCATATACATAGGAATCAGAAAGCGTGAGCTGATGGAAATGATGGGCCTATGGGTAAAAGTGTGCTTGTGTGTGTGTCTGTGTGTGTGTGTGTTTGCATATGTGCATATGCAGAGATGTGTGTTTGTGTGTTTGTGTAACGTTGCTAATTGCCGTGCGTTCTCTGGAGAGCTCATTAGTGTTACCATGACCTTGGGGCCTGCAGGACAGGTGTGGCAAACCACCACACAGGGACCTGCTACATTAGCTGTCTCATTATTCACTGCAGCCCTAAAGCTGCTGTAGTATGAAACCACTTTACATTGTGTAATAACATGTGTAAGTGCCCCAAGTCCCAAAACAGACTAGGGTAGGGGTAGATCTATGTTATCCCTGCACCCGTCTCATTGAATAAACCCTTGTCTGAAATGAGATTTCAGAAGGTCAGGGAGAATGAAGTTGACAATGACCTGAAACTGGTGCCAAAGCACACCTTGATTTGAGTCAAAGAAATCCATTTGATATCAGATTTGACACGCTGCTTTTCATGATCAAACATAATGGGAAACAAGAAGAACACAGGGTCTGTCAGTGTCATAGAAATGTGCCATGTTAGCAAAATACTGATTGCAACTCATAAGCTTCACACACCCCTCACCCTAAACACATGTAAGGGATCTCTTGAAGACATACATGTGGTTTCATTCTTCCTGTCATGTCAGCGGCCATGCTGTGATGATGTGAACAGCCATCACGAACCAACTGTTGGACGTGTGTTCAAAAGTCATGCAGAGGCAATGCATCCTCACTGTGGTTGCGTGTGTGTGAATGCTGTGCGCATGTGTTGTCCTTCATGCCCCTTCAGTCATGTTTGCACCAAGGATGGACATTTTTGTGTGCAAGGTTTCTTCCAAACACTAATAGAATTAGATCTGACTGATGTAAATCTCTGATTTGACTTTTATTGGTAATGCAGGCATGCACACAACAGTTACTCTGCTGTGATAATTTTACTTTTTGTGTGTTTTGGTTTGTCAATTTTTTACTGCATTATACTGAGAAGAAATTGTGTAGGGTCTTATTGTTTCAGTCTAGATCTCCCGACAGTGGTCTGTAGCAGTCGTAGGTTATGGTCTGTCACATTCCACAACACACCAACCTACAAAAACTAAATTTGTGTTTTACCCCTGCACTTCTAGACTATGTATACCACTTGCCCCTGACTCCCTGTGCACCCACCACCAAATGGTATGTACACAAATATTGCCCTCTTTCACTCCCTCTCAGCCTCTCTCTGTTTTCACAATAGTTCCGTTCTCTATCCTGTGGATCTATGCAGAAGCCCATTCCTTTTTTGGTTGTAAATACGTTCCCTAGTATGCTGAACAATGTATGTCTTTGCGTCCAGTTTTCCTTGTGTATTTTGAGTTGATGTCAAGTTGTCACTTTCTTCTTGTACTTCTTCTTCTAATCCTTTTTTTAATTTTTATTTTGAGCGTCTGAAATCATTGATGTGGTACGGTTAACCAATAGACTTGTCCTCAGCTTCGCAACCTTATTGTGAAAGGTTGTGGTTCTGTGTGTGTGAAAGTGAAAGATTTATGATTATAGAAATGAAAAAGGTTCAAAGTCATATAGAAGTATCATTGCGGTTATGATTATTATGATTACTATTATACTACCAGTATATTGTAATATTATAGATGCATTAGTTCAAGTAACTTCTTTAATTTTTTTACAAACAACTTTGATGAAATGATTTATAAAACAGTCTCACAAGTCATGATCTTTTCGAAAACTATGAAAACTACTGCTACAATAATTAAAATTGTGTTCTGATGAAAATAAATACAGACATATAATCTGTTCCTCTTTTGTGTTTTTGTATGATGTGACATTGTTCAAAAACAATAATGTCTCAGCAATTGACAACCGCTTCTTATCCCTAATGATGCACTCTGCTGGTGGACACCAAAGGTAATGTATGTTGCTAACGCACAAGAGGAAAGTACAAATCTTTTAAAAAGTGGATAGATATGTGGGTTAGGGGTTAGGGCACCGTGACACATCCACCAATGTGTCCCTGAGCAAGACACTCAACCCACAGTTGCTTCAGAGGTGTGCGACATCTGACATTTATAGCTTTGTATAGAAACGTCAGCTAACATATAAAGAAAAAGTTGACATGTTTCACTGTTAAATCATTACATAGTTTATACTTTAGTTAACTTAAAACGTATTATTCATTTAGATTTTTAACCTGAAAATGGTATTATGCTCATTTTCAGGTTAAAAATCTTATTTAGGGGTTGTACCAGAACAGGTGTACATGGTTTAATTTTCAAAAAACACCATATTTTTGTCATACTGCACATTGCTGCAGCTCCTCTTTTCACCCTGTGTGTTGAAGGCTTCATTTTAGCTATGGAGTGATACATCTTGCCTATACATAATTTTAGTTGCACATGCACAGTTCCTAGTTAAGGACCACTAGTCAATCAGAAGCAGAGTAGGGCAGGCCCTGAGAAGCCGGTAAACACGGCTTCAGTTCAGCTGTATAAGTTCCCCTTGCCAGCTTAGCAACATGGACTGGAGCAAGAGTTTCAGAGTGGTGAGTTATTAATCTGTAACAAAAGTGTCTTTCATCCCTAAAGTTTTAACTGAGCTCTGTCTCTA